CCTCCTCACCTTCCTCCCTCCCTTCTTCTCTGTTCCCTAGTATTTCTCCTTGTGTTTTCCTTCCTATTAACAGAGCTCAGGGCCGGGAGCAGTGGCTCACGCCTGTAACCCCAGCACTTTGGGAGGCTGAGGCGGGCAGATCACGAGGTCAGGAGTTCGAGACCAGCTTGGCTAATATGGTGAAACCCCATCTCTACTGAAAATACAAAAATTAGCTGGGCATGGTGGCGCACGCCTGTAGTCCCAGCTACTTGGGAGGCTGAGGCATGAGAATTGCTTGAACCTGGGAGGCGGAGGTTGCAGTGAACCAAGATCACACCACTGCACTCCAGCCTGGGAAACAGAGTGAAACTCCATCTCAAAACAGAAAAACAACAACAAAGAAAACAAAACAAAACAAAAAACAGAGCTCAGATTATTTTAGCAATTCCAGGGCTTGTTCTGCAGTGCTATGCTGCCAAGAATATTTGTAATTTTCTTTAATTCTTTTGTGTTTAATAAGTTAATGAAAACCCTCATCTCTATGTCCTTAAGAGGCAAAAATCTTTGAAGTTTTGAAGCTTTTAGATGCTTCAATTAAATTCCTGTTTCCTCTCTGAGAAAAATAACAATTTTTCTCTCTTTAGAATGTGGAAATTGAATTGTATTCTTTTCATTGCATCGGTAAGTAATCGCAGGAAATGCAGATGAGAAGAAATTATGCAAAATCCTACTAGCCATCATAACCACTCTTGTCATTTTGATATCAATTCTTTTAAATATAACTATTACATGCAGATGTGTAGCCTTCTGTTTTCAACAGACATGTGATATGACTGTTCATAAATGGGTGAAGTGACCACCTTATACTCAGATCAAGCCATATATGTGTCATGTAAGAGTCCTGAGGATGTGATTGAATGGCAGGAGGGCCTGGGGACTGAGAAGTAGGGAGAAGGTGGAAATGCAAATGGACAAGGAAAATGGCCCAGGGCTGTATAATTTACTTATAGAGCATCTCTGATCTATTTATAGTAGCTGTTCAGAGGAAGCAAAGGAGGAAATGGCATTTTAAACTGTAAATTTATTAATTTTAATAGTTTGTTTTCCCCTAGGAATGCATGTTAACCTCATTACTGCATTGAAGACTCTTTGGAGGAGAAAACTACTTTTCATAGCTTAGTTTTTGTAAGGTAACTGCTAAGTAAGTAATTATAGATTCATTTGAAGGCATCCTAACACCAGGGAAATAACATATTTTTAAAATCATGAAGACTGGGTCTGAATCTGAGCTCTGCCTCCATAGCTATGGAGTCCTGGGAAAGCCCAGGACTTACCCTGCAGCTTCAGTTTCATCATATGTGAGATAATATCATCAATACCTTGCAAGTTGCTGTGAATGTTAAATCAGATGAAATCTATAAAGTGGCTGATATACAGATATTATTCAATGAATTATAGCCATTGTTTTCTTTTTTCTTGTAGCCTCAATATTTACTGATTTCTTTAGGTTTGTTACATACACACACACATATATATTTTTTGAGACAGTGTCTCATTCTGTCACCCAGGCTGGAGTGCAGTGGTGTAATCCTGGCTCACTGCAGCCTCCGTCTCCTGGGTTCAAGCGATTCTTATGCCTCAGCCTCCCGAGTAGCTGGGACTACAGGTGTGCATAACCATGCCTGGCAAATTTTTGTATTTTTAGTAGAGACAGGGTTTCACCACATTGTTCAGGCTGGTCTTGAACTCCTGGCCTCAAGTGATTCTCCTGCCTTGGCCTCCCACAGAGCTGGGATTACAGGCGTGAGCCACTGCAGTGGACCAGTTTGTAATTTTTTACTGACTAATTTGGTTAAGCAAGAAATAAGTAATGCTGAAAAATTAAAAACAAACCAACAAAATCCATAACAAAACAAAACAAAACAAAAACCTGCCAGTTACTCTTTTGTTATGAGACAGAAGCACTCACTGATGTGCCCCTTACTGTCACAATAAAGATATGATTGATATGGCCAACATTCAGCAACCACTGAAATCTGAATGTTCACTTTGTCAGTAGCCACTTGCTAAAAAACATCACTGTCACAGAACAAAATGCTTTCTGGCTTATCCCCTGCTGCTGTGATTATCTCGTGTGTTTCACTGAAGGTACCATGTAATTGGGGTGGAGTCCGTGCCACATGTTCCTGGAGTTCAGAGCTGCCCGGTCCTCTACCAGGGTCAGCCAGGTCACTCTGCACCAGCTGCATTTACCCGCAAGGGTTTAAACTGCCTTGCACTTGGGGCAGCGCTTCCAAGGGCCACTAGGGGGCAGCAAACAGGTGAGAAAGAGCAAATAGAAGAGAACAAACCCGACGAGGAAGACATAGAAGTCATACTCCTTAGGAAAAAGGCTCTGCCCTCTTCAAAGAACAGGCTTGGGATGCTATGCACAGCACAGCATAGCACAGCACAGCAACAGAACTGGAGCTCTAGACATAAGGCTCCTGTTTAAGAAAAGAAAAAGGCAATTTCCTTTACATAAAGACAATCTACTTTTCCTATGCCAATCATTTTCAAATATTCATCGCTAGTCCTAACTTCTCTTCTCAGTTCCAGGTGCCTGTGGCCACTTGAATGCCTCAGTCTCCTGCGACTCATCCTCATTATACTTCCTTGTAAGCAACCTAGTGCAGCGCTCAAGAACTTGCTCCCTGGAGCCAGACTGCCTGGGTTCCAATCCTACTTCAGCACTTACCAATTAATGCTTTGGGCAGTTAATTAATTTCTTAATTTCCCCATCTGTAAAACTGGGGCAAAAACTGTACCAACCTCTCACTCTTGTGAAAGAGGTTAATGTTTGCAAACTGTCTTAGAACAGTGCTTGGCACACAATAGGCACTATGTGAGTGCTCGTTAAATAAAAATAAATAAGTCTTGCTCCTCTTCAGAATTTCCTTCATCAGTAAATGGCACCTTCATCCACCAAACTAGATGAAACCTACAAGTCAGTCTTGATACCTCTGTGTCCCTCATCTCCCACATCCAAGCAATGACTAAGTCCTATGACTTCTATCTACTAAATCAACATTAAATCAGTCCACCTCTCTCCATCTTCACAGATACCATCAATCACCTAGTCCAAGCCACCATCATTTCTCACCTGAGCCACTCCTATGGCCTCCTGGTATCTCTTCAGCTACTCTGGTGTCTGTCTACTTTATCCAGAATTTTTCAAACACAGATTTGCTGCTTCATGACAGCAGAAGTGATCTGCACAGCTTGAAATACTCGAAAATCTTATTTTTCTTAGAATAAAAACAATAATCCACACTGTGTCCTATGATGGCTAGTGTGGCTCATCTCTTTTCCTTGGTCCCTGTGTTCCACCTGTCTTGGCACTTTTCAGTCTTTCCATGTGACATGTTTTCCTATGCAATGGGGGCTTTGCATATACCTGGAACATCTTCCCTTCTCTGTGCCTACTTAACATCTCACCCTTCTGATCTTAGTTTAGATAGTCCTTTCTTAAGAAAGCCTTTCTTGATCCCTTAACTAGATTGTACCCTCTGTTATCTGTCGTCAGAGCATGGTGTACACTTCCTCCACAAATTCTTTCTCAACTGGGGATGACTTTCCATTGCCTTTAGGCATTCATTGCTCTGATAAGAAGTCAGCCATAATTTTTTGTCATTATTCCTCTATATGCAACATATCATTTTTTCCTGTGGTTGCTGTTATATTTGCTTTATCTTTGGTTTTCAGAAGTTTGACCATGATGTACCTGGGTGTGGTTTTATTTGTATCTCCACTACTTAGAATTAACTGAGATTCTTGAATCTACAGATTGATATTTTCTCATTGTATCCCAAATATTTCAGCTGTTATTTCTTTAAATATGTTTTCTGGCCCATTTTCTCTCTCATTATTCTGGGACTGCAACTACTCACATTTTAGACCATTTAATAGGTCACTGATGATGGGTAAAGTGTTTTTAAATATTTTTTCCCTGTGCTTTAGTTTAAACAATTTTATTAACCATTCTTTAAGTTCACTAATCTTTTATTTCAGTTTCTGTTCTGCTGTTAAGCTTATTCAATCCATTCTTTACATCAGATGTTTATTTTTTATTTTTACTCTAGAATGTTATTTGTTTCTTTTTTATGGCTTCCATTTCTCTGTTGTGATCCCCCATCTATTTATTCATTCTGGCCATCTTTTTCTGAACATCCTTGAACATATTTACAGTAGATGTTTTAAAGTCTTTCCCTGCTAGTTCCAATATCTGATTCATCTGTGGGTCTGCTTCTGTTGATAGTATTTTTCTATTTACTTATCATATTATCTTGCTTCTCCCCATGTTTTATAACTCTAAAAATTATATATTGAATGTTTTTTGTTTTTCTGGTTTTTTTGGATGGAGTCTCACTCTGTTGCCCAGGCTGGAGTGCAGTGGCATGATCTTGGCTCACTGCAACCTCCACCTGCTGAGTTCAAGCGATTTTCCTGCCTCAGCCTCCCAAGTAGCTGGGACTACAGGCATGCACCATCACACCCGGCTAATGTTTGTATTTTTAGTAGAGACGGGGTTTTGCCATGTCGGCCAGGCTTGTCTCGAAGTCCTGACCTTAGGTGATCCACCCTCCTTGGGCCAAATTGAACATTTTTTGTAGAAGAATAGTGCAGACTGAAGCATACTATTGTTTGTTTTGTTTTCCTTGAGAGTGCTGACTTTTTCCTAAATCTGGGGGCTAAGGTAAAAGTGATCACTCATATTTCACTAAGAGTTGAATTGTTAAAAACAAAAACAAAAACAAAAAAAACTGGGGTGCACTTCCCACTGCTACATGTAGGGATTTTCTATCCAAGCTTTAACCTTACAGAAGCCATTCCCTACCATCAGCAATGTAACTGTTGCCCAAGTCAAGACATTTGCCTCTGTTAGCTCCAACAAATAAAAATATGTCTCTTTTTGCTGACCAAAACCAACAGGGCCAACAACAACTCTATAAGCACAGGCAATTTAACAAGTACGTTTCCAGTTAGTGCCATTTTTAATTCTAATTATCTTCTGTTAGGTCAAGTGGAGGATTTCTAGCCTTCCTGGGCCAATACATTAAAAAAAAATTCCGAGTCTGTCCTGGTTGTCTAGATTCCCATTCAATTACACTGGCTTAATCCAGTTTTGGAGACATTCTTGACCAAGATCTACCTGTAAATGAAGTGTATAATTAGTTTCATAATCTGGTATGAAAATGCCTCTTAGTCGCTTTATTGGCATAGTACACTAGAAAAACATGGGGCTTGGGGTTAAACTAACATGGGTTTGAATGTTAGCTCCATTACTTTTTAGTGTGTCTTTTTTTTTTTTTTTTTTTTTTTTTGAGATGGAGTCTCACTCTTTCACCCAGGCTGAAGTGCAGTAGCACAATCTCAGCTAACTGCAACCTCCGCCTCCCAGATTCAAGCGATTCTCATGCCTTAGCCTCCCGAGTAGCTGCGACTACAGGCCATGCACCACCACGCCCGGCTAATTTTTTTGTACTTTTAGTAGAGACGGGGTTTCATCATGTTGTCCAGGCTGGTCTTGATCTCCTGACCTCAGGTGATCCACTGGCCTTGGCCTCCCAAAGTGCTGAGATTACAGGCATAAGCCACCACGCCTGGCCTTTAATGTGTCATTCTAATATCGTATTAAACTTTTTCAATTTTATTATCTATAAAATAGAGAAGACAATATCAGATTCATAGGATTGGGAGGACTAATGAGCATCTAATAATTAATGAGCACTTAATGAAAACTTGCCAAGTGCCAGGAATGTGAAGAGTGCTTCACCCATGTTATCCCACTGAATACCACTATTCTTTTTATTATTTCCAATTGCATATGAATAAATTAAGACATAGAGAGGCAAAATAACTTGCCTCAGGTCATCTAAGTCAGCAGCGGTAAAAGATGGATACAAACCTAAAATCTCAGCTGAGAGTCTATACTTTAGCCCCTGTGCTAAAATTCCTGGTACTCTGTTGAGGGTCACCTCAACACACTGCTTTTACTAATAACAATTAATAGTATTAACATTAATAACACAAATAAAATAAATCCCCCATCAAGTCTGCTTGGTCTAGATGACGGTGCTTGGTTTTGGTTTTTCACCTCCTCTCCACTGGAGGTTTGCTGCTACCCCTCCATCAGAGTGGGAATCTAACCCACCCGAACCCCATGCCTCTTGCTTCGGGCCCTAATCTGCCTTACTAATATTAACCTTCTTACCTTGAAGGCAGAACCCTGTTTTACTGCCTAGGTTAGTGATTCCCAGAGTGTACCCAAGTAATCATGAATTGCGAGATGATAAGTTAGAAAAATGTGATATAAATGTTGTGTTTCAAAATCCCCTTCTTGCCACATATTAGACTCAGAGAGGTCCTTCAGCAAATACATCAGATCATTTTGTTTAACTTGGGTGTTTCCCAAATTTACTTGACCACAGAACTCTTTCATGGCCAACTACTAATAGCTCACTTTGGAATATTAACATATACACTGTATTTGTGTGAACATCTCTTTGTGTCTTGTTCATTCGGGTGGCCCCACAGCCCTTAGTACAATAATCAGTTAAGGCTCACAGAATGAATGAACGATGAAAAGGATGAGTGAGTATCTAACAACAATCATTGTGACACTGTTCATTTTGGAACAGAAAGAGAGTGGGCATTGTTCTTTGTTGTTTCCTGATTTCTGTATCAATATTCTAAAATGCTTAGCTCTCAAGTTAAAATTAAGTCTTAAACTTGGCATAAATAGAATCGAGTAAATGATTGTCAATACATGGTCTATACACCTTACTTTCTTTCTTTTTTGGGGGGGATGTTGGGGGAGGGGAAGCCAGATGCAGAGAAGGGGGATGAAGAATAGCAGGTTCTGTTCTAGGAAATATTGCTTTTAGTGAAGTAGCTTTTACTTATCTTATCACTCCCTTGGCACACATTAAGCTAATGTACTACTTATTAATTATTCCAGTATTTCACCATGATATTATTAATCAGAAATTACTTTGATGTTCATCTTTTTTTTTTTTTTTTTAGATGAAGTTTCGCTCTTTTTGTCCAGGCTAGAGTGCAGTGGCACAATCTTGGCTCACTGCAACCTCTGCCTCCCAGGTTCAAATGATTCTCCTATTTCAGCCTCCCAAGTAGCTGGGATTACATCGCCTGCCACCATGCCTGGCTAATTTTGTATTTTTAGTAGAGACAGGGTTTCACCATGTTGGCCAGGCTGGTCTCGAACTCCCGACCTCAGGTGATCCACCTGCCTTGGCCTCCCAAAGTGCTGGGATTACAGGTGTGAACCACAGTACCCAGCAGATGTTCATCTTCACTATGTTTTTACTTGGTTTGAACTATAACATTCCCTTTTCACAGTGCTCCATGAGATCTTCAATGCCAAACACAGTTTCAAGACCCACATACTAACTTTTCACATTTACTATTTTGGATTGTATGATAAAACAAATAGCCAATCATTATTCTTTGCCTTAAAGGCTCTCAAAACATTTACGAGGGCCTACTGCGGACCTAGAGTGTGAGTTACCTATCCAATAATAGGAGATGGCGTGCAAGATGGTGAGCAGCACACTTTAAAGATTAAAAGGACAGTTTTAGTCATGACAAACTTTAGCTTGTTTTATTTTTCACACCTCTGCATATTAAATAATTAGGTCAGATTTTCTTGGAAGCGGATGACATCACTTTTTATACTAAGGAAAAGAAATCCTTCCTTCTCACCTAATTAACTACAACTCATATTTTAGTTCCTCAACTTCAGACCAAATAAAGTCCTCCCTCCTCCCTCATGCATGCTCATAGAGCTGGGTTCCTTCCCCCTTCAGAATATCTACATTTCCTGTGAGTGGAATGGCTTTTCTCCTTCACTAAACTGGAAGCTTGTAAATAAGCTGGGGCTGGCTTGGCTCATCATATCATCCCCTGCACCCAGCACAGTGCATGGCCCAGAAGAGCCACGTCACAAATATTTATGAATAAATATGTTGCAAAATACATATTTATTGAATAAATCTTGTTTTTTGTTTTTGTTTTTTTTTTTAGACAGAGTTTCACTCTTGTCACCCAGGCTGGAGCGCAGTGGTGCGATCTTGGCTCACTGCAACCTCCACCTCCTAGGTTCAAACAGTTCTCCTGCCTCAGCCTCCTGAGTAGCTGGGATTACAGGCATGCAACCATGCCCAACTAATTTTTGTATTTTTGGTAGAGACAGAGTTTCACCATGTTGGCCAGGCTGGTCTTGAACTCCTGACCTCAGGTGATCCACCCACCTCGTCCTCCCAAAGTGCTGGGATTACAGGCATGAGGCACCATGCCCGGCCTGAATAAATCTCATTTTATGCAATGGTGACTGAAGTTATCAAAATAAGGTAATGTAGTACCTGGAACAGTACTTGACTCTCCAGCTATTTTTATTTCAAACTCTTTTGCTTGAAAGTAGAATTCCAGATGAGGAATTAGCATAGTTGGGTTAGCTCCTTGGATCACATTGGGCACACTTGTCAAGCTTTTAGATGCCCTAATTCTTAAATAACATAGAGTTTGTGTTCTAACCTCTAATTGTATTAATTGACTAGGGCATTGTGTTTCCTCTTCTAAACTTGTAATTATGGATCATTGGACTGAGTGCAAAGTAGCTATTGTACAGCCCAGCGAGGAATGACAAAGTTATCCTTAGTCAACAATAGAAAACGTGATCGGGGGAGCAAACCAAGACGGCAGCCCCTAGTAGGGATGATTCAATATCCCTTCTTCTAGTGACATAGAAGAAGGGTAGGGTATATAAATGACTCTAGCAAAGACAAGTTTAGATAGATACAGTTACGGCTGGTTCTGTGGTTTTCAAAAGTAGAGAGTGGCCATCTCTCTGGGCATTAGGACCAGTGCTGGAAGTGAAGAGATGGTAATTAAACTGACGTACAGCTGAGGAAATTCCTGGCTCCTCACACACTTTTGTATATCATATCCAAGAAAGCTGGAAGACTGAACTCTCTGCTGAGGGGAAACAATGGTTGGGGAGGTAAGGAGGCTTTTGTCGAGGTTCCTGCTAGTATGGTGTCAGCAGATTGTATATCGACTTAATGTTTGATTTGCGTGTTTTCCAGTACATTCTCCTGAACTCCTTGACATAACTTTCCAGTAAAAGTGCTTGTCTAGTAAGTCAGATATTTCCAGGAGGGCTGGGAAAGTGGAACCGTGCCACCTGGCACTATTTCATAAAATTAATTACCTGAACGAATTCATGAAAAATTGCAAATACAAGTGCTACAATATAGAGTTAGTGGGCCATGCCATATTTCTTCTCTCTACCAATTACCTGTGTTATTTTCACTTAAGTGAATTTCATTATTTTGCTCTCAGTGGTCATTGATTCTCTACTGGAAAAAAAAAAGGATCTGTGTTTGGTCTCCTCGGGTTTGAAAAGACCTGAAGATAAGACTACATTGGAGCCTGACTCAGGAAACAAAGACACTTCCCAGGCAATTATTCATCTAATCTGGGGATATTCATTACCAGTCAATCAAGGAGATTTGCCTGGAAAATTTCTCTTAATATGAGCTTTAGATAGAAAGACCAGCAGTCAGCATAGACTCAGAGTCCAGAGATCTAAACCTCACTCCAGGTGGTACAGTGGGCAGCTTTAAGCAAGCCCCTCGCTTCTCTAAGCCGGTTTCCTCAGCTATAAAATGAATGCATTCATGTGATATCTCTGCATCTCCCCCCCGACTTTTTTTTTTTTTTTTTTTAAGACGGAATTTCACTCTTGTTGTCCAGGCTGGAGTGCAATGGCGCGATCTCAGCTCCCTGCAACCTCCGCCTCCCAGGTTCAAGCAATTCTTCTGCCTCAGCTTCCCCAGTAGCTGGGATTACAGCCACCTGCCACAATGCCCGGCTAATTTTTTTGCATTTTTAGTAGAGACAGGGTTTCACTATGTTGGCCAGGCTGGTCTCGAACTCGTGACCTCAGGTGATCCACCCCCACCCCCCCTTGGCCTCCCAATGCACATCTCTTAACATTGGAGGGAATGTAAAAGTTGATGATGTATTTAAAGCCCTTGGAAAACTGAAGGCACTGAACAAACCTAAGTCAGAGTTATTAAAAGGTGGAATCAAGCTTAGAACAGAGCTACCAGCAGCCATAATAAAATGATAGGGTTTATTCTCACAATCTATGTTTGTGGGCTTCTAAACAGATGTGTATATAAAGTAAGGCTTGTATTTGAGAAATAAAGGAGGCTAGATTTGAGTTTATTCAGTAGGTGTGTAAATGGAGCCTGTCTCCTCACCATCACCACCACCATGGTCATCACTGTCATCATCACTACCAATGAGTGAGCAACAACTATGTGTAGGCACGTGGCAGGACCCTTCCTTCCCTTCATGCTACCATTCAATTCTCTCAAAAACTCAAGAAGCTTCTCTATTACTGTCCTCATTCCAGAAAGGGGCAATGAGAGGCTCCAAGAGGTTGCCAGTGGTTCCCAAACCGGGCTGTGCATCAAAATGACGAAGAATTTTTTTTTTTTAAGTGCAGCTGTTTGAGCCTTGACCAGCTACTGAACTAGGTAAATCCCAAGCAGCTGAAAATCCCTGTCCAAGCTCTACAGATGATTTTACTGAGCAGACAGACTTGCAAATGACTGGGCTAAATAATGCCCCCAAGGTTACGCAGCTGGAAGCAAAGCTGAACTCTAATCAAGGTTGGCCACTGGACTTCTGTGTCAGCTCTTAACCACTTTTCTGTCTTGTTCAATTGGCGGTTAACAGTCTATTTAACAACAACTGTCTTTTATTGACTTTAATTAGTTTTTCCACATTCTACATCTACTGTTAAACTATACTGCAAGATTGCTTTTCCCCAGTAACCATTTAGGTGTTTTATAATGAATGACTCAGCTCCCAAGGATCTTTTATAGTCTGGCCAACTGCTAGTGATATTTACTAATAGATGGAGAGTCTATCCATGATGAAGGTTACAAAATGCATGGGTATGACTGTGGGAACTCATAACCAATGATCAAATGACATCTGTACATTGGTGAAAGGAGTTTTTAATGAGAGACTGGGATCAACGGGCCCAGAGGTAGCTGTGAAAGCCTCTGCATGGCTTGGGCCATGGTATAAGCCAGTGTGTTCCCAACTTAAATGTCTATGTGAATTACCTGGAAATCTTATTAAAGTGCGGAGACTGATTCAGCATTTCTGGAGTGGGCTCCGGAGTTTACTTTTCTGAGCTACCAGGTGATGCTAAAGCTGCCGGTTCTTGGGTGTAAGTACACATGGCCCTAAGACAGCTATGAAGAGATCCACTCTCAGCAGAAGAACCAGAAGCCCCGGGAGTGAGCCTCAGACAGCTCCTCACTTACACGGATACTGACTGGGGGCAGAAAGTTGGGGAGGACACTCAGAGGTGAGCTACTGAAGTGAAGAAAGACCCACATAGCAGGGGAAGGTGTTGACCAGAGAAGAACCTATTATCTGTCATGGAGCAAGGAAGGGTGATGAGTGTAAGTGAAAAGCACACTTATATGTTGAGTAGAGGGCTCGCAGGTGTGTGGTTCTGATAATGATGCACATTTGGAAATATTCTGTATGGTAAGGGAGTGAATTCTAGACCAACATTGGTTGAATCAATGGAGACAGGAGGAGGATACTGCTGGATGCTGAGATTCTTACAAGGTGAGCCAAGGACCCTGTGAAATGTACCCCCTAGAGCATTGGGTCCAGCTTGGATGAATGACACTGCCCCTTGCGATTACCTGACGCCTACCTGTCAGGTAATAGCGTTCTACTCTGAACAGCTACATGGAAATAAACAGTAACTGGAGCAAAATAACATATGCTTAAGCTAATTCCATTTGGGGAAGAAAGAGTCTGAGAAGGACTTTGCGGGTAGAATTGTATAAGGGAGAAAAGATGAAGTAACCAGAGCATGGGCTGGGGTTTAATCAAGCAGGAGTGTAATGAACCCATAACTCCAAGAGCATCTTAGCCATTTAGACCTGTGAGTATAATGAGTACAAAGAAACTAGATTTTGTGGCCAGCCATGGTGGCTCATGCCTGTAATCCCAGCACTTTGGAAGGCCAAGGCGGGTGGATCACCTGAGATCAGGAGTTCGAGACCAGCCTGGCCAACATGGTGAAACCCCATCTCCATTAAAAACACAAAAATCAGCTGGGCGTGTTGGCAGGCACTGGTAATCCCAGCTACTCAGGAGGTTGAGGCTGGAGAATTGCTTGGGAGGTGGAGGTTGCAGTGAGCTGAGGCCACGCTATTGCACTCCAGTCTGGGTGATAGAGCAAGACTCGGTCTCAAAAAAATAAAAGAAAACAGAAAGGAACTAGATTTTTGTGCATCCACATTCGGTTCCCTGTCCCACTAGGCTAGGCAAAAGGCATCTGGAATTGCAGAAGGACAGGGCCCATTCTTCAACAGAGGCTTCTGCGACTTGGCCTGGGACTCCGACAGCATGGTACCTCCACAGCCCCTTGCAGCCCTCAAGGAGAGGTAAACCTCAATAAAATGACTGGGAGGGAAAGCCAGAGGAGGAAGCACCCACAGGGCCCATCTGGTAAGGGGGGTGGGGTCCTGACACCGGAAGCATTGCTGCCCTGGGAGAAGTAATGAATGACTGTAGGGCCAGCAACAAAATAGGCTAAAACACAGCTGCCTTCAGAGGAGGTGAGTTAAGTAGGAGCGGTGATGAGCTGAAGGTCATATGCCCTCCGGCCTAACAGGGCCCTCCTCACTCAGCTCTGTGGCCAAGCAGAGGGTGGGCCCAGGACTGTAGGAGCTTTTGATTTTTTTTCAGGAGAAGCTAAGATTCTGAATTTTTATATAAATTGCCTATTTTTATTTAAAAAGCCATTAATAAAATCAAATAAAAAAACACCAGCAGCCAAATAAAATACACTTGCAAAGAAGCATGAGTTGGTGACCTCTGCGCTATTTTTTTACGCAAGTATAGAGAGACAGCATGGGTTTTTAGACTGAACCCAGAGGTGGAGGTACAAGGCAGGGCAGGTACACACAGGGCGTTCCTGGCGCTCCCTTCTCCACCTTCTTTCCCCTGGCCTCTCTTCTTAGCACTTCCCAGGGCTTTACATCATGTTCTGCACTTGTGTGGGTTCTTCATTTTCTGACACCCCTCCTCTCAGCTAGAATAAAACCTCCAGGCGGCCAGAGACCTGTTTGCTAACAACTGTATCTCTCCTTCTTTGACCATATCTGGTACACAGCAGGCGCTCAATAAATAGTGGCCCAGTTGAAAAGGAATGACTGGTCCATGCTCCCATCTATAACATCCAAGCCAGGCTGAGCTGGTGTCACAGACCCCTCATTTCAGGGTCTGACATCGAATTCAGAATAGTTCATGAGGCTGCTGTGGACCAGAGTGACCCAGGATAATCCCTATCCAAACATTTTAAGACGAATACAATGCTCCCAAATCCATTTTTAGTTTGTATTTCTGTGTGTGTGTGTTTTGGTTAAAATCTGCAAGAGAGGAAGAAAAATACACATCCATCCGTGGCGTATATTCAGCTGTGATCATGAAAATACTGAGTTATTGTTTGAAATCGTGTAAAGCAAGAACCTGCATTAAGAAAGCATAGCTAAGCAAAGAGGCCCGGGACCCATATCTGCTGACATACCGTGCTATCCTGAGACTGCCGCAGAACATTTGCAAAGCCGTGTTCTCTAAGAATTCTGCACAGTGCAAACAGGCATGAGGGGAAAAATACTACTAGGGAACTTCTAGTTCTTGCTGAAAAGGAAAATTTTGAGCTCTAAATCTAGCACTATCAAGCAAGAGAGGCATCTGTGGCTGCATATAAAGCTGGTACTCCTTTGCTTGAACAAAATCCCTCAGTATACAGTACTTAAAATAAACAAAGCTCAAAACAGTCAGCTACACACGCATGTTTTTTGGCCACATGCTGCCTGAAGAAAATAGCTATGCCGTGTGCATGCCCTAGTTTAAACCAAGCCTGAATACTGCACAGTCTCATTCCTCTCCCGGTCTCCTTTTCTAGACAGAAATACATTTCCCTTTAATGTACAAGTGAGAAAAAAATATGTTTAAAAGACAGTCCAGGCCCTTGATAAAAAGCACTTACTTTGAAAGAACAGGACAGACTACGTATTCAAAACAAGAGCGCCTTCTTAAAGTGCAGGCTCAGAAGTTGTTCAATGGCCAGGACCTTGATTTGTGCTGGCGGCTCTAGTCCTGCTGGGCATGGTTAAGGGCGAGGCTTGCAGCCCGCACGGCGTGGTCCTCCAGGGGTGCTGCGTCAGGCTGACGCTCCGGAACAGTTACTGGGACAGGCTGTGAGCGACTCAGCAGGACAGTTTTATTTCTGTGCTGAGCTTGCTGCTTCCTGCTGGGAAAATGGTGGTGGTGGAGTCACACCCAGGTACCGGGCCGCAGCCAAGGCTCTGCAGATGACCCGAGTTCTGATGGAGGTGGGGACGGGCGGCGCCCAGCACCTAGGGGGCAGAGGGCGAGCAGTCCCCGAAGAAGATTCACGCTAGGCGATTGGTCTCCTCACGGGAGCTCCTCGACCCTGCCAAGGGCATGACTCAGCTCACCCAGGGCAGTGCTGGACCACACTATTTATCTCCTAAGGTCCAGGAGAGCCGAGTTCAGGCAGTGACTGGAGAAGAGCTGGAGGGGAGGCAGGGCGGCCCCTAAGTCAGTGGGGTCTAGAGATCGTGGCCTCACATGCACAAAGATTCAGCCCCTTTCTCTTTGGTAGCTATTGCAATAGAGTGGCTTAGGACTCCGACCCTGAAAACTATGAGGAGGGGGAGGGGAAACAGGAGGAGAACGGGGAGATGGGGGAAAACGGACAGGAGAAGGAGGAGGAAAAGGAGGAGGAGGAGGAGGAGGGAGAGGAAAGACGCCAGCCTTACAATGGAGGTCCCAAATCAATAAGTGCAGAGAATTAATGATGTCCTGATTTTCTGTTGGTGTCAGGATGACAAATTGCAGAGTTAGAAGAGAGGCTTCTCATGACTGTCAATTTATGTTTGCACAACACTATAACCAAAAGCAAGCCAGAGATATAGTGGAAGTTTAGGGAAGCTGGCTGTGGTTTCAGACGCCTGAGGATCTACACCTCTGTCTCCTGATACATTCTAGACCCAGGATGTGTCTAGATGAAGGACTTGGTGGGGCAGGGTATGGTATAGGGAACCTCAGGATCATTTTCAGTTTGGAAGATTTAAGCAAGAACATGAAAGTTCTGGAGCCACAGATTTTCTTTATTGTGTAGAGTTTGGAGTGAAGGAGAGTGATGTAACAAGGCCCATTCTGTGTCAGGAGAGGGGTGTGCTGTCAGGAGCTCTGGGGCTCCACCTCAGCCCTGCGGTCTCTGGGTGACCTCCGATGACACACAACCTCTCTGGGCTCTTCTCTTTCTTCTTCTTTCTCTCCTCTCCTCGCCTCTCCTCCTCTCCTTTATCTTTCTCTTTCTTCCCTCCCTCCATTGTTTTCCCTCCCTCCCTCCCTCCCTTCCTTCCTTCTTTCCTTCCTTCTTCTCTCCCTCCCTCCTTTCTTGTTTGCTTTCTTCTTTCTCTCTTTCGCTTTCTTTCTCCTTCCTTCCTTTTTCTTTCTTTCTTTCTTTTTTCTTCTCCTTCCTTCCCTTCTTCCTTTTTCTTTTTTCTCTCTTTTTTCCTCTCTTTCCTTCCTTCCTTCCCTCCTTCCTTTTTCTTTTTTCTCTCTTTTTTCCTCTTTCCTTCCTTCCTTCCCTCCTTCCTTTTTCTTTTTTCTCCCTTTTTCCCTCTTTTCTTCTTTCCTTCCTTTTTCTTTTTTTCTCTTTTTTCTTCTTTCCCTTCTTTCCTTCCTTACCCACCCTCCCTTCCTCCCTCCCTCCCTCCCTCCCTTCCTTCCTTCCTTCCTTCCTTCCTTCCTTCCTTCCTTCCTTCCTTCCTTCCTTCTTCCCTTCCTCCCTCTCCCCTTCCTTCCTCTCTCTCTCTCTTTCTTTCTTTCCTTCCATAGCATCTCACTCTGTTGCCCAGGCTGGAGTGCAATGGCATGATTATAGCCCACTGCAGCCTCTAAATCCCCGGCTCAAGCAATTCTCCTGCCTCAACCACCAGAGTAGCTGCGACTACAGGCGCACTGCCATGCCTGGCTAAATTTTTAAATTTTTATTAGAGATGGGGTCTCACTATGTTGCCCAGGCTTATATAGACTGGTCTCAAGCTATCCTCCTGATATCCCCCTCCCAAAGTTCTGGGATTACAGCTGTGAGCCACTGTGCCTGGTCTGGGCTTCACTTTCAACATGAGAAGTTATTATGATCCCTTGAATTTTAGTGCCCTATTCTTCCATGTCCTGCCATCTAGCACATGCCCTAAACAGAAGGAAATCAAATGAACCAAGTTTTCCTGCTTGTTTCTTCCATTGTCCTCCCTTCATTCCTCTACCTTAAGGCAGTACATTCCACCAAAGGACCACACCTTGGCGTTGCAGTCAAAACAGAGCTAAACTCTGCACAGCCCAGAGAAGCTGATTTTCTGGTCTTACAGAGTACAGCAGACATGGAGCTGTGCTTTCTCTTTTAAAAACAGATTCATTGCCCAGTTGTCAGGATGCTGTTAGCTGACAGCTTCCAGCCACCAACTCCTTCCACTCTACTTATGTTTGGAGGGGTTCTCTGGTTCTTTTTAGGGTGCCTTGGCCTAACACTAAGCTAGGTGGGAGTGCAAGGGCCTAGCCATTCCCACCAAACACTGGGTCTCTAAACAGGCAGTTTTTGCTCCTGAGAGTCCACTGGGCTGGCAGAGGCTCTGCCAGGCTGCAGCCCCCACACAATTCCACTTCTTCCCTTTCCCTGTCACAAGCGTTAGTTCTCTCTTGCCCTCTCAGGGGACCTAACAGACACAGAGATGCCAGTCATTTGCCATGCATGTTTTGTTTTTTCTCCGCAGAGGGCCTTTGATAGGCTTCAGAAAGCCATCTTTGGGTGACAACATACTTGTTTTTGTAGCATAAAGATCTTCAGCACAGATTTCTTTCTCATTCTCTTATTCACAGAAGTGGAGAGGCTTAGTTCCCATCAGGTCTAGCTAGTGTTTCTCAACCAGGAGTGCATACCAGAATCACCTAGAGACCTTTTCAGTGTGCAAGTAGGCAGGCTTCACATGCGAAGCTAGACTTGGTGGTTTGCGATGTACCCCTGGTTGAGAACCGGTGGTTATAGCATAAAATTCTCCCTTGTATGAGCCTCTTTCAGAGATGAGCATTCATCCTACTGAGGATCATTCCAGAAGCTGAAAATACACTGACATTAAGTGGTCAATTAAATGATGCCTAGTTTATTTCTTTTATTTTCTTTTTTTTCTAGAGACAAGGTCTTGCTATGTCACCCAGGCTGGAATGCAGTGGTGCTGTCATAGCTCACTGTAGCCTTGAACTCGTGGGCTCAAGCGATTCTCCCCGTTCAGCCTCCTCAGCAGCTGGGACTACAGGCACACACTACCATGCCCAATTAATTTTTTTTTTTAAATTTTTCGTAGACATGGGATCTCGCTATGTTGCTCAGGCTGGTCTCATACTCCTGGCCTCAAGCGATCCTCCCACCTTAGCCTCCAGAGCTTATTTCCAGATATTTTTATAAGTCCAGCTAGTAGTGCTGCAGACTCATTTCAGAGCATGATGAATCTTCTTATAAATTTAGAGGAAGGTGTCGGGAACTTTGGCATTATTTTTAATTTTGAAGATTTACATGAAAGCACAGAAGTTACGGGGCCATAGATTCCCTTTACCAAGTAAGGTTTGGTAAAGTAAAGAGCTTTGCATTTACCTTCCAGGGAACCTGGAAATAAGGCTGCTGCATCCTGTCCTTTCAGGTTCCCTGTGTCATTGCAGGAGGCTGTACTCATGCTCATGTTTTGTTTCACAAGCTAAGTCCTTGACAGCATCAGCTAGGATCCCAGTCTTCTCTCATGTTTCCCGGTGAGAACTCACTCACATAAATGTCAGGGGAGAATACTTGGCCTTCGTGTTTCCTGGATCACTGAATAAAATCCCCTGTGGTGATCTGTGTGCATATTTGGCTTTACTGTTTGGTTCCAGGAGTTTTATTTCAAGGCAAAGCTTGTATCTGAAGATGCCATGAGCTGAGATTGTCTAGGACTGAGAAGCCCTAACTTCCCAAGGACACTAATCCTGGAAAGAAGAAAGAGGGGGCATTCTTCCTGAATGTGAAATGCACCCAGAAGGAACTGCTTGGTATTTAAAAAACACTTCTCACTCTATCTTTAAAGCCAAAGAGAAAACACCGAAGTCCAAAGGGAATGCAGACAGACTGACTGCTATGAAAACTTTCTCTTAGCAAAAGTTACACCTTCCCTAAGGGACAGTTGGAGGGTGGAGTAAACTGAGGGAACTGGGGAAACCAAGGCTCTGCTGAGCTGTGAGGTGTGAAAATAGTACAGAGGAAGTGGCTCCTGAGCGCACACCAAGCTGAGATACTCAAGGAAACAAAGGGGAATTTAAGTGACTGTGCTGACTGTTCCTGGATGTTTGGCAGCACAGGACTAAGTATTAATTTAATGCTTCTTGAATCCAACACATGCTATGCTCATTCTTTAAGTGCATTAGGCAGAACTTGTGAATTAGGAGAGCTGCCCTCTGCATGAGTAGGCAGCAGGGCCCTGTGGCAGAGGAGAAGCTGCCTCTGCATGCGAGCATGGCCTCACCCTTCCGCCCACTGACGCGTAGCAAGGCACGCACTGAACATCTCAGGGCGTCCCTCTTCTTCTTGCAGGGTTATTTCAAGGATTAGCTGAATATGCATGTGGATATGCTTAATAAATTTGCAAAGTGCTATGCAAATGTGGGCTTTTATTTATTTTTTAGAGAAAAGCCTCACATCAGGATTGGCTGAGTATTACCCAAACAGCACAGGGCCCAGTGGATGGACTCCAGCTCAGACAGGCAGACCTCAGTTGGAATCAATGCTCCTTATTTACCTACTGGGAGACTTCAGAGCAATCAGTCAACCCTCTATGACCCAGTTCCCTCGTACATCAAATGGGGACAATGATCATACCTACCATGATGCATGGTGCCCAGTAAATGTGCGCTGTGATGACTGTAAACCGGGGCTGTCACCAAAAGTAAAACCATGACACAGAGGAAGGAGGAGCCTTGGCAGGAAGTCTTGGGGAGCTGGTGGAAAGTACTTCCAGGGAAAGGCACCCTGCTGCAAGGGCCCATCCTAATGAGCCATCAGCCTCCTAGAGGATGGCCTGGCTCTGAGTCAGGAGGAGAAGCCGTTGCTCTTGTCTCAAGGCCTATTTCTGTCTGTCCATATCAACTGTACAGCAATTACCCCTAGACAGCAGAGCTCTCGGCTATAATTCTGGAAGTAGCATCATAGAGTGTTTCCAGGTACAAATTCACTTGTAACAACTGTACGTTCACATCACATAAGGAGGACTCGACATGCAAAAACATCATCTCAAAATGGAGCACAGTCGAATTCTGGGGTGGATGCAGGTGGTGGGGAGGGAGGGTGATGGATCTCAAATGTCCAGCCACACTTGAGATAATTCCTGGGCTGGGCAACAGCAATGGCCCTGGGCTGAGGCACATTCCATTATGAGTGGAGTGGGTTTATAATGGAATGACATGGATGGTTTCTTATAATCAGAAAAGCACACTGACCTTCACACTACACAGGTGCAGCAGCATAATGACCCACCACGTGTACGCGCATCAATTCCTGGGGAAAAGTCCAACGAGGTTAACTTAGCGTGTATCCCAAGCAAACAAAATCAGCAACATTACCCGCACAAACAACATTGTTCCCCCCACCCCTGCCAAGATACCTGGCCTGGGCAACCGACTTGCAAAAGGAAACATCACACAAGGACCACACTCATTTTGATAAAGTGGATAAAAAGTTGCAAGCAACATTATTCTGTGCCATAAGTAATTGGATTTGATTTTAAATTTTAATTTAAGGAATGAGACCCATGGGCCTAGAATTTTTTTTTCTTTTTCAAGAAACAAAGAGTTGGTGTAGGTGTTTGTGGGGAAAGAGAAGTTCCGCTCTCCCAGCTGTCTGAGAAGGCCACCTAAAAGCATCCTCACATATGATCCACTCCTGAAGCTCCCTTGACCACAAAGGAGGGGGAATCTACAATTAAACTGCTGAAAATTCACTGCCTGTTTCAGTGCCCTTACTCCCTCAGGCATTTACTCAGATGGGAAAGACTCAAGAAGTGCTGTCCCCTTCCACTTGTCCTGCAGAGTGACTGTCACCACAATCAACTTGGCATCACTGGTCTCACCATTGGCACTTTAGAGCTACCATGTCCAAAATTAGCATACAGGACTTGAGCAGAGATACCAGGCATGGGAAAGTTGCTGATGGCATCGTCTATCAGGGCCCTCTTAATCCAGGTACCGTTTTGGTTCATGAGTCTTTATTCTGATTTGATAACCTCATCTTCCTTTGGAGTTACAGTCACCATGAAAATAATCAATATGGCCTGATTCCAGAAAAAAAGCAGTCTATGATGTCAGCATTCCCAAACCCCGATGAAACCTGAAGCTTTGCTGACAAATGAATTTGTGTAAGAAACGAGTAGCAAGCTTGCACTCTGGGTGCAGAGATTATGGTCTCAACCCTGGTCCAAGTAGATCTGAATAGAAGAGGGAGAGAATTCAACATCCACGTACTGAGATCCTGCTCTGTGTCCAACGCGCTGGTGGATGCTACTGGACTTCTCAGTGGTGATGCACACCGTGCAGCACCCTTGCTCCTTCCTACTCCCTGCCACAGCCACCGGCTTCCCGGCTGGTTCTCAAGCTGCCCCAGCTCTGCCCCATCTGCAGGCTCCCCTGCACTGCCTTCCCCCTTGGAGAAGGGCCAACTAGGAAAAGATGCAAGAAGGAACACACTAGGGCCATGTCCCTGCCTCTGGCCTTAGTTACCATGTGAACATTGCCAACTCTCCAATTTCTGTGATAGGTCAGAGCACTCATCTGATGTCCAAATCCAGTCCCATCCACTGGAGCTTTGCGCAGCCACCCAAGCACCGTGCAAGAAAAACTCAGGGTCTTTATTCCTATGCCCACGCCTCCCTTAAAAGTCCAGCCTTAGTCATGGTTCCTTCACCGCTTAGAACTCCCTGTCAGGAACTTGGACAGCTTTCTTTCTCCAGTCCTCTTTCTCCATCCTTTTTGTCCAACCAAGCACTGAGTTCATCTGTTCCTGCCTCTTAATGGTTCTAGAATTTATCTGCCTCTCACCATTTCTGCCTCCTTCAGCATGGACCAAACCTCCCTCTCCCACTCAACTCCCATGGAGCCTAACCGGCCTCCTCATCTGCACCTTTGCTCTTAATACAGTCTCCACAATGGACAGAACGCTTTATTGAAAAAGGAAACCTGATGTCGCCCTTCCTTGTTTTAGTGGCTTCACACTTCCTTTAGGCTAAAGCTTTAAATACCAGTTTGAGACTTACTTTATACAAACATGCAAAGTGGATCTGGCCCTCCCTCCTCCCCGGCCTCACTGCTACCTCCCTCCTCCTGACCTGTGACACTCTGGCCACTTGGGAATCCCACAGTCTCCAGAGGCACTTATTTTCCCCCTTCCTTGGAGACGCCAGTGTGCTGTCCAGCCAGATGCCAGCCAGCTGCCTGACCTGAGCTGCCCTCAGCCCTTCTTCCTCCACACCCCTGACTCCTTGGCCTTCCCTGTGCTTCCCCTTCCCCCACAACAGAGGCCTGGGAATAGTACCCTGTAGTTATTATTTTTTGACAGTTTTAAAAATAATTCTAATGAACTATTTATGTATTATGTATTTGTTTAACATCTATCTTGCAAAATTGACTCAGAATTCTCTGGGAGCTGGGGCTGCCATCCTCAGCACTTAGCACAGAGCCTGGTACAGGGCGTGCTCACTGTCCTAAGCCAAATGTTGATCCAATTAATTAAACACACACATGCATGCACATTAGGAGAGTAAAAAGAAGAGGAAAAAAGACCATTCAAACGGGCTGTTTAGACATTATCTATTTAGCACTTAGCACTGGGGATACTGGTGTATTTCACTTTACAGTTTACTGTAAATTGTTTCTTTACAGTTTACTGTAAATTGTTTCTTTACAGTTTACTAATTTTTTAACTGCAAAGCTTGACTCTGGAAATAAAAAAGGAATGAGAGCAGAAGTGGAGACTTTATAAAGAAAGTGAATGGGGAGCAAAAAGGATCCAGCTCCAGATCCTGGAAGTTTACCCCACTCCACCAAAGAGAACCTGGATGGAACCCTCTTCCATCAGGAATAAACTGGAGCCCAAAGAAATGAAGGAATCAGATGGGGACCAAGTGACCTGTCTACACAAAAGCCACCTGATGAGTACTTCTACTCCCTGCTCTCAGCCCACCTTCAGCTATACAGATCTGCACGACCCCTTGCTTCTGCCATATGGGATCCAGCCTGACAGCAGCAAATGAGTGCACAGATTTCAGGTAGAGGAAATCCCCAGGAAATGGCAAGGAAGAGTTTAGGAATCAACAAAGTACTACTTTAAAATAACCTGAGATTAGATGATTCTTCCTTCAAAGGCACAACTAGTTTATACACAGCTATACACAGCCAGTTCCTCTGTTGGACTCAAGTGGCCATGACCCTCAGGAAAATCCTCTAGGAGTGCTCGGCACAGGGCAGCAGGAAGTCACGTGGGGAGGGTCCCTCTGCAGACCCTTGCAGCACAGCAACAGGAGAGCGGAGCGGTGTTGGAGGCCCAGCCCTGCCTAAGGCCGCTCCTCCATAGGTCCTGGCTGCCGCACCCTGCTCATGCCCTGTAAACCCCTGGCACCTCTCTAGAGCCCTGTGAATCAACCATCCGACAGGGCCTGTCACTACTTATCAGCACTGACTGGCAGTGACACCACCTCCGAGGCCTGATGCTCTGCCACAGCCATTAGGTCAACTGAGTAGAGTTAGGATTATTAAAAATCAAAGGAGCCAAGCAGGATGTCACTCCTGGATAAATATCGATCTGTCCCTACCCAAATGAACTAAGATTAAAAACCAAATATTAGAAAGCATGTTACCCTTCAGACCATACTGTGATTTACCACAGGCTAAAACAAATTGTTTCACTGTTTTGCTTCCCTTGTGTTTCATTCAGTTTGTCATCTGATAAGTGGAGGATTTTTTGAGGAAGAGGTCAAGATCATTCATGGGTGGAATACATAAAAGCTAGCAATATAAAAGATAACATTTATTTATTTATTTATTTGAGATGGAGTCTTGCTCTGTCACCCAGGCTGGGGTGCAGTGGCTGGATCTCCGCTCACTGCAAGCTCCGCCTCCCAGGTTCACGCCATTCTCCTGCCTCAGCCTCCTGAGTAGCTGGGACTACAGGCGCCCACCACCGTGCCCGGCTAATTTTTTGTATTTTTTTAGTAGAGACGGGGTTTCACCTGTTAGCCAGGATGGTCTCGATCTCCTGACCTCGTGATCCGCCTGCCTCAGCCTCCCAAAGTGCTGGGATTACAGGCGTGAGCGCGCCTGGCAAAAGATGACATTTAAAAACAACTTTTTTTCCTAATTATAGAAACAAAGTACATTTGCTTTTGAAAAGCCACGCCATACGGACTACAAACAACAGGATGAACGGTCACTCGGAACCCCACACTGTAAGAAAGCCAGAAGTCCTGGTTCGGGTAAGGTTCTCTTTTTTTATGGGGCAGTTTGAGGGCGGCCCAGCCAGTGTGCCGCCTTCTGGTAGGGACGTGTGCCTACAGGTCTGGGCCTCTAAGAGGTCCAGCTAAGAAGCATCACAGCTAAGAAGCCCGGGAGTGGCTGGTCCTCAAAGGGGGCTTGTGATATTTAAAAATAATTTACACTTATTTTAAGTGGGTGTATCTGATATCCTCAGAAATCTGGTCAGCTGGGGCAATTGCCCCTCGCAAATCATTGTGACTATCAATTATTTTAAGTTGTCCTAAGTATAGACAATTGGCATTTAGGATTTGTTGAGTTCCAGCAGGAGGTGCCAAGCTGTAGAGATATTTAAAGACATACAATTCCTATTTCATTGACCCCAAACCCCTCAAGGAAATTCATGGCCCTCCTCTTCTATCAGGCAAAGACCCTAGCGCAGTGTTTGCCGTCTGATAACTATTTGCCAACAGACCCACCAACCCGGTACACGAAGGAAGGAAGAGCCTGTGTGCGCATTCCCATATATGTGGTTAATTCCGGAAACATCACACCAGACACCCTTGCAAAGACAAAGTAAGCTCAGTTGCACATATTTTGAAGGAGATTTTAAAAAATTTTCTTCTTCTTAGAGACCAGAAAATTACATTTGCTAATTTAATAAAACTATGCTTTATGGTGAGAACCCAAGGAGGGGATGAAGAGTTTCACTAGACCTTCTCCCTTTTGGCTGATGTCACAGCAAGTATTCATCAGCCATCAGCCAGCCTGGATAGCAGGCCAAAAAAGCGGCCGTCTGGTCTCATGTTGGAAGTTCTGTTTTGAACTTTGTGACCTTGATTCCATCAGCATGACTTGGGGTCTGAATGATTTTGTTTTGTCCCAATCTATTTTCTTTCAGTCCCTTGTTTTGATCCAACATCAATTTTCAGGAGATATAAAACATACTGTCATATAACATTATGGTGTTATTGTCACTGAATTCATTTTCCTGGGAGGAGGTATCTTTATGATCCAATACCTAATAGCATCATTTCCTGTCAGC